CCCCTAACAGTCTCATAATGATCTCTGTAAGCTTTTAAGACTGGCACTATTTAGCAGAGGTCAAACTAAACCTTTTTCTAAAATCAAAACTAAGGTTGCCCCAAAAGCTGGTGATTATGAAAGTGAAGTTGTCTGCTTCTCAAATCTTGTGTCACTTTAAGCCTTTCCATCGCTAGCTTCCCAGCTACCTTAATTTTCAGTTATGTCCTGGCTTGCCTGGGGCAGAGTTACTTCAGAGAAGCTTACATGGTGCCATGCTATGCACACAGTATTCTGTTATCGTTAACCTAAGTAGACGTTTCCTACATCTTGGGATCAGTGTAACAGCCAATTCACCAGTGCTTACTATTTTAATCAATAATTTTATGCTGTTTCTTAATATGAGAAGAAATCATGCTTTAACATCTTAAAATCATAAGGAGCCTTTGACTGCGGGCCCAAGCAGTGTGTAACTGTGTGCCAAGGAATATAGTGCAGGGGAGTGAAAAAAAAAAATTAAAAATTGAGCACTCTCCTTTCTCAAAAAGAATTGGGGATGTAACCCAGGTGGCTGCAGCCTAGAAGTTACCAGCCTCTTCTTTTTTCCCCCGATGGCCAAGAGAATTAAGAATCCTCTGCCTTCCCCTTGAACAGGAGTAGGCATTAATGGTATGGGGTTACATTTGGGGACTTCTTTGATTTCCTAGGTATTATTTCTGTTACAAGCCATGGTTTGCCTCATGTTAAAACCATCAGAAATGCAGTCCTCCTGGGGCTTAGATTTCTGTATTTGTACTGAAGTGTACTTTACACATGTAGTCTTGACAGTGGTTTAAATTTGTTGTTGTTTAAAGGTAGATCTTGATATATCTATCACTACCACATGTTAAGAATAGAGTTAATTTAGAAAAACTGAGCAATGCTTGGACAGCTTACGACTGACAATTATTTAATCCTCTAGGCTTCTGAATTACAGCCTGTGTCTCCTGCCTCGTGGCATACGCCACCCATCCTCTAGTGACATCTTTCCTGCTGTGTCCAAAGATAAACATGGAACTGGAAGTGCTAGTATTCAAGCTTGCAGTGCTCTGCTGGCTCAGGGTGGTATCTGTTACATAGGAGACTTCTCTTCATACAAAAAGGATAAACTTGAACTCCTGCAATCCGGTAATTTCATATCTACTAACAAATGAGGGGACAGAATGAAATAAACATGTAACGCCTCAGCTAGGTCTGTTCCTCACCTTATGGCCCTCAAACGCTTGGAAAATATCAGCTATTTTTAACAAGTCTGAAAGAAATGAGGTTAAAAATGGCAAAATCCTATAAGCTTGCATTTGCTATACAGGCTCCAGCACAGGGACCCATTTATTGGCAGAGGTGGAATGAGAAGTGTATTCATCAGGCTTGCAGGATTTGTGATCTAGCCTTTAACGGATTTAGGCACTCACACACTCAGTCCTCAAAACTGGTGGTGTGGAAGTGCCAAAACTTAAGACAAATTCAGTGAAATAAAATAATGACTCTTTTGGGCTACTGTGCTTGGAACTAGGATTTATAGTCAAACTGCATCAATCACATCACTGATGTTTTTTGTCCTCTCCTAGTGCTAGAGAGCAGGACGACAACGCTGTTCATTCCTGGGAAGAAGTATGGAGAAGAGGCTGACCAACAAGTGACTATTTCAATTCAGACCAACTTCTGGTCTTACGTAGATGTGGGTTCTTCCCCAAAGAAACAGACAGCAAGGGACAGCTTTTTAATTGGGCAGATGGTAAAGCAACTGACAATTATTTCTGGTTATTTCAGCTTGGGAAATAATGAAAACAAACAGCTTAAGTGACTTTAAATCAAGTATCCTCTAAAATGAGCTAGCTTTCCTCAAAGTAAATGCCATTTATTTTATTCACAATAGCTTTTGACAACTACTACTGAAACACAATTATGTTACTTATATTATAGATAACTCATTAGCTATTCTTGCACCCTTTGGCATATGGATACTGAATATTACAGACTGAAAAAATTGCAATGTTTCTAATAGTCAAAATTCCATAACAATTTGTTTTCTTCTCTGGAACTTCTCTTCAGGACCTGAGTTTGATTCCACCTAATCTTTTAGATGTTTTTGGGCTGTTGATATACAGTGAATTTCCTTCGTGTCAGCTGTCTTTTCCTGTAGTGCATCATGTCTTGCAAAAAGCCATTAATCCTGAAGCCATGCTGTACAGAGTCTCACAGCAGTTCAGAACACAGGATTATGAAGAGGTAGTTAGTTATTGTCTAATAATTTAGCAATGCATTATGCTTTTAACAAGAACAATTTACAGTCATAAAACTTAGTGTGAAATACTTGACTAGTTAGTACTGAACTAGTATTAGATCTGGAGGCTGGCAGCCCTGTTTGAGGCAGGGGGGTTGAAGCTTCATGATCCTGGAGGTCCCTTCCATCCCAAGCCATTCTCTAATTCTATAAAAAGTTAATATTTCATTCTAAAGAAACTGTCAGTATTTCTAATACAATTAACTTGCAATAGGGAACCTGCTTTAGCAGGTTCATCTTCCTGCCAATCCCTGTAATTCTGTAACAGGTAATTCAGCCCAGTATCTAAAATCTACCCTTATGCATAGCTGAACAGTGACAAGCTTTTTACAAAAATTGATGGTGAAATACACTGTTCTACCTCTATTACTATGCCAGTATGTTAAAAGGTATGAAAAAAAGGTGTATTATTTATTTTCCACAGTTAAATGTTTAAAATTTTTTACCTTCTCTCTAGTTTATTTCATTCGCAAAGAATCTTCATGTCCAACTGAGTTCTGAAGCAGAAAACCTCATTCAGGGCTACTATCTTGCAAGTCGTAGAGTGAGGAGAGATTCTTTGCGTGGATCAAAATTATCAGCATCTGCACTAAAAATCCTGTATGTCCAATGCTCATAGCAACACATCTCAGTTGCCAATAGAAACTGCTAACCAGCTCAATTTATTAAATAAAAATGCAGACATTGTTTGAGTTTGGAAGAGTTCAAGTATAAAGAGTATCTTAACATTAATGAATACCACCTTATAGGATTGGTTTTAAAAAATGAGCTATTTAAAGAATGAACTATTTCTTAGACTCGATATTTCTTCAGTTTTTTTCCCATTAAAGCTGTCTAGAAAAATAAAAATGGGGTTTACATTTTCATAGCTTTCTCTTACATAAGTTTACTTTTAAAGCAAGAAGTACAGTGTTACCTCTTGATTTACAGAAATGCTTGCAACGGAAAAATATGCAACGTCTTCATTTCTGCAATTTTTTCAACCATTCTGACATGCTTACATTCATCTCTTAGGATTTCACTGTCCAAAGCTCACACTAAACTGAGTTTGAGGAAGAAAGTCCTTGAGGAAGACGCATTGATTGCCATCCTGTTGTTTGAGTCATCTCTTACCCTAAAATACGGTAAGGCAGTCTTTAGTCTTGGGTGTATCGTTCTCACGTTTTGTCAGTTTGAAAAAACTTACCTTAAGTCAATTGCAGTAACAGAGGTATTTCAAGTGAAAGCTGAGATCTTTCAGTTGACTTTCCAGTGGTGTGCTTCAGTACTGTCCATAGTGAGGCCCCAAACAGCACCAAGCCTCTATCCTTACGATAGCACACTGGAGACACTTCTGCTGCTATAGCATCGGTCCAGGTTAAACCCTAGGCAGAACTCTTTCCCTGAAGAAATGTTTTCATTATCATGTCACATTTGTTCACACACAAATTTGGCAGTGACAGAATCACTATGTAATACAGAAGTGCTAACTCACAAAATGAACTACTAAGTGATCTGCACAGCAGCTTTTCTTTTTTTTCCTCTCCACTCCTTAAAAATACTGGCCAAAGGTTGCCAAGCCTCCTAAGGCCTGAACTGATTTCTTCTTTGCTTAGGTAAGTCAGCATTGTGCATAGAACCAAACGCATTATTTCCATTCGACCTCAGTGATGAAAACAGCCTCCAACAGAGAGATATTTACCTACTGCAGTGCCACCATCAACTGCTTCAGTTTATTGGTGCATACAGCCCAGGGACTTACGTTAGCACTAATGAAGAATGAACTCTGCTGCGAGTCCGAAGCTTCTACTTCAGCTTTCTGGCACTGCAGTTACAGAAAAATAGACAACTGTTTTCAGTGCTATTTTGCAAAGAAATAAAGCATAGCTGATAGGATTTCGTTGAAGTTTCCTGGTAACACTGAAGAAAGACAGAAGTGATGTTTCTATTCTGGAAGGCCACGGCTTCAGAATAAAGCCAGAACCTGATCTTCTATTCCCAGCTACCACTATGATTTCACTGGATGAACACAGACAAGTTTTTAATAAGGTAACTAACATTTAAACCAAGAATGCAGAATACTGTATTTCATTTCAACTATGAACTGTACTTTTTCCTGTTGCTTCTTTTTAAATGCATTATCCAGCAAGGAATAGTTTAAATACACTACAAAAAACAGTACTGATGTAAGACAACTTCAAGTTATTCATGTACTATATAATGTACTATAGATTTTAAGATTTATATCACCATACTGCTTCTTGCTTTATGTCTCAGTTTTACATTACAGCACCATCATATCAGCACAGGATGCAGGTACGCTCCTGCAATCTGAAATAAAGCTTAGATAAGGACACTGGAGACAGGAGAGCAAAAAAAAATTATTAGTAGGCCCACCAGGGAGGAGGCAGCTTAAGGAGTTCCAGCCTAACTGCCTCATTGCAAAAATGAGTGTGAAGACTGATACAGTGGATACGCTGTTCCAAGTAGGGCCTTCTCTTGCTTTCTCCTCCTACCAATGCTGCAGCTGTAGCACAACACTGGGCAAGTTTTACATCGGAGGCCCACATTAAATGCAGCAGCAAAATGGACAGACTTCTACTCAGAGATGGATAAACTGAACAAATACTGAGGGCTTGCTGTGACTTCTGCACAGGTCATGCAGCAAAATCATGGTGCTACCATTTACACAGCCTTAACAAAACACTATAGCCGTTGGAAATATAAATCCAGGATTTTATTTATACAAACATTGCATTGAAAATGAGCAGAACAGCTTCTACCATTATATAGACTAATTTAGGCAAGAAAACAAAATTTCCTGTGTTTTAACCCTGAAATCAAACTTTGACTGCACTTGAATATTCATACCGAGTTCTAACATTGTCTGAAGGGCTCCCTTCTCACTCCACTCTCACTTGAACTTCATTCAGGCATTATTCACATTTTCATCTAAACTCTAACTCCATCTTACTCAACTTCTTCCTTTCAGCATGGTATTACAAGTCACAGGACTTCACCCAGAGCACATTCAAATCAAGCAGTGCTTCTGAGAAGCAAGAAGGGCCAGCAAAGCATTTCCAAGTGCATTAGAAATCCACTTTTCACACTGTTCTCAACCTGTAAAAAAAGCCAAAGCATTTCAAATTTAGCCACTTTTCTATAAGCTTAATCTCATGTGACATTATACGAAGTTACTAACCGTGCTGGCATTTCAGATCCAATGATACACATCAACAACCAGTCAGATGGGTAAACGGCAAAGATATCATCATTATGCCAGTACAACTATTTTCATAACAGACTAATCAGAAATAATTCTGAAAAGAATTCTGTTTAAGCCATAATAAGGACTACATATCCTTAGAGGAACAATATTCAGCAAAAAGAACCCAACTTTTTACTCCTTCCTCTCCCCAGCTTTACCTATGTGATGCCTTAAGCAAAAACTGTAGTTCTTGTAGAAGGATCACAAGAACTGCAAAGTCAGGCAGCAGTCTAAAAGCTTAAGTAACAGGCCACATCTTAAGCCACTGTAAGTTGGCACAACTGCGTGCAGCAGCAAATATGGCTAGCAAGCTCTCCCAGCTAGTGAACAGCTCGCTGGAGCCTCAGCATTGTAGCATCACAGCAGAAAAACAACTTACCTTCTTAAGCACCCATACTTGTGGAAATCAACAGTCTGCTGTTGGCTATACACAGCTTGAAGTCAGCGGAGAAAGTCATCTGATAACCTTTGAAAGATTAGAATAAATCGAGTCAGAAACAAAAGGTTTAACCCATTTGATTTGCCACCTACTGATGAGCTGGCACATCAGAGATAGTGTTACTCATCACAGAAATCAGTTGGGTAAACGGCAGAGAATCATCATCACAGTGCCAGCAGACAGGTTCCCACACGCCCTAAGACTGGAGCTAATTTTCCCAGGTACCAAGTGCAAGGGGATTTATTAGGTTGGCCTCCAGAAATGTGCTTCTAGAAATCTAAGCAGAACTGTGTTTTCAACCATTAAGCACAGAACGCATTTGGTGTAGCCAGGAAAAAAAGAAAAGCTCTTTTAGGGCACAACAACATGGGTCTCTGCTGATACATTCAGGCCTTAGATGCCAAGTGTTTTTTTTCTTTTTTTCCCAGAGGTGAAGTTCACTGCCACGATTCTCTGTCCACTCTGACTGTATTCTGACAGACTGATGTGGTTAAGTACCAGCAGGGATAGCTATCTGAGTACGTGCTCTCTACTTCAGCCTTTTACTTCCAGCTAACATCTGGTTAATTCTTCACAAAACTATTTGTCCAGTTAAAAAAGGATTCTCCAGTGTTCTCAAGTCTCTCATTTCCAATTCCTTCATGATTCTTAAATTGATACTGACACCCCACAACACAGCAGTTGCAAAGGTCTTATAGCTGGTATAATACCTTTTAGAATTTTAGCCTCAGTAAAAGCTCAGTTAGCTCTCTAATGACCTGGAGTTCAAGTTCAAAGAACAAAAGGTCAGATTTTAAGGGCTATGGTTGTTAATTTAAAAATGGATAAAACCTCACCTTTCAAAATTCATGGCAGTAGTACATGGTAAGGCAAACTGAGCTGCATAATAGACAAATTGAGTCATTATATAAGTAAAAAGCTTAGTAGTAGGAAATCAGTAATTCAAAACTTATTAACTGGTCTGTGCTGACTGAGGAATACTCTCTAGGACAGTTTAAGACTTAACCCTTCATGCAAATGATCATATATCTTGTTCCATCAGTAAGACAATTTACAAATCTTAAACAGCTGCAGAAATCAAGACCTCGATTTCAGGAGACAGCTCTGGATGATTTCCTCACCACCAAGAACAGTGAGAGATACTTCTGTCACAATTCATGTGACATCTTCCTGCTTGCAAGGCAACAGCACAGAGCCGAGCCTGAAGATTCCCGAAGCCAGAAACCAACTCATCTCCTAATTGCCTTTGTTGCCTAAAACAAGGAAGAGAAGAAAAAAAGGTTTTATTCTCCTGAGCATTCTACTATTGGGCCTCAAGCAAAACACAACAGCGTTTATCTGGGGAAAGCAAGCCAGTAAAAAAAATATGAAATGAGACTATTGTTGGCTTCACCAGGACCTGGGGAGAAAAGCAGAGAGCGTCAGTCAAAATTAAGGTTAAAAAGATTGTATTCCACCAACAAAAGAGTTCCAGAATGAAGAATGACAGATTGTAGGATCAGGCTGCTCCTAATGAACAACCACCACCAGGGAGAGGAGTATCCCAGCACAGTACAGCAAATAAGACAGCCTCTAAGCCCTTTGTGGACTGTGCTCCGCAGCACTGATTGATGGGTTTCCCTACAAGCTGAACTCGAGGTCAGCCCCTGCGCTATGGCCCTGGCAGGGCACTGCCACAGAGACACCTCGGGCTGCCCTGGCCCTTTGGGATCTGTGCCTGCTGTGCAAAAAGGGCACGCTCAGGGTCACAGTGCAGCACCAGCCAAACTGGGGAAAAACAGTAATTTATCTTCACAATTAGGACATGCACCTGCCAATCAAAGTGGCTTATCAGCAAAACCAAGTCTCTCCAGGTGCCTCATTTCCCACTACTTCAGAGGCCTGATGAGCAGCCTGTGAGATCAGCACCCCAATTAGACCCACTTTAAGCTCACAGGTCACATTGCATTGCCAGAATCCTTCCCTGGCCAGCAGGCATCAGCCTGAGCTGCACCGCTCAGCACCGAGGTGAGGCCACTGATAGCAATCAGGCACCTCTGGTGAGCAAAGCAAAGGCTGATAACACTCGCTCATCCCTCAAGTGATGCTTTAGGTTTGGTAAACGCAGCCAACAATTACTGCTTTCAGTTTAGAGGTCGGATTCATTTCACTGCCAGGACTGCACTCTTCAAATTAAACTGCTGGCGACATAACTTAATGCCTTAAAAGAAAAAACAAACAAACAAGCAAACAAACTAGAAGCGACTCACTTAAAGCACCGAGCGCTGACATTGACGTGGGATTGACGTGGAGCTGCAAGGCAGCATCAGCGAGCCACAGCCCTGTGCAACCACCCGAGACCGGCGCTGCGCCCCGTGCCCGCCGCACAGCACGGAGCCAGCCGGCCAGCCAGCAGCCCGCCCCCAGGAGCGGCGTGCGCCGGGCACGGCCCCGGGTTCGTGTGCCACCAAACCTCACGGAACTCAGAGAGGCTCCTCCAGCCAGCCGCTGCTGCAGCACCACCGACCCATGCCCCGCACGACCAGGGCCCGGCCGTAGAACCCATCGCTGCAGCCTCTCGTCACGACGCGGCTTCGCTCAGTGCCGCCTCAGGAAAGGGCGGCGCAGTCGCGCGCAAGCCTTAAATAGAGCGCGCGCCGCGGGGCGGGGCGGGGCGGGAAAGGCGCGCGGGCCTGCGGGCACCTCCGGCGGAGCTGCGCACGCGCAAAACGTGGCGTCGCTGTCGCGCTGTGGTGACGGTGAGTCGGTCCCGATGGGGTTGGCGGGAGATCGGGGTGACTGGAGGTGCGGCTCTGGGCTGTTGAGAGGGGGTTGGAAGAGCGGGAGCGGCTCGCACGGCTGTGGCTGAGCCGGTGGTGCGCGTATGGCGGCGGGCAGAGGGCGTTCCGTGTCTGTGAGCAGAGCGGTGCTGACAGGGAGCGGGCCGCGTCCTTCCGCTGGCCTGTGACGAACCGTTCCCTTCGGCAGCAGCGTGCGGACGCAGCTGAGAGCCGTACGTTGGAAGGGACCGCTAAAGGTCAGTTCCCCCACTGGCCGACCTCTGCCATCGCTGGGCCGGCTGTGCTGTCCGCACGTGCGTCCCCTCGTGTTTTACGTGCTTACTTCCCAGAGACTCGCAGTGGCATGAAAGGAAGAAGCCTTTGCAGACCAGCGGGTGGCATTTTGTGTTGCTTTGCTGTGGGCCTCCTGAATTCTGTCCCCTCCAGGTGTGTTATTTAGGAGCTGCTGCTGCACCAGGTAACTGCATGTAACAGCATGCAGCACGCACATGTCGTGTTTTCTCCTAATGGTGATTCATCGGCATGTTATTACCTGCCCACAGTGCAGGCTGAGCTTTGGCACTGCCTTCTGGCTGTTAATTTCACCGCTTCTTTTTGCCCTGACCTGATGCCATTCTTATAGGTTTTAGTTATGTGTGAACCCCACGTGGCTTCTCCGTGCTTCTGCCATCCTACTTGGCATTTTCTCAGCCTAAAACTTCATCTGCATCTTATGCCCTCATCTTGTGCGTTATTTTAAGACTTAAGTTGTGAAGAAGTCCTCAGAACTGTTAGTATAAATGCACTCCCAAAATTAAAGACCCAGAATTACCCCATTCCTCTACTAACACTGAAACAACTCCATGACGTTATTATCAGTAACTGTTCATCCTATGCAATTAGAAACAGAAGTGATACAGATTTTGCATCTCAATAAATATATAATGTCCAGTGAATAATATTTAATGTTTACCTTGACAATAACAATATATGAAAAGTACGGTGTTTTACAGAACAGATACATTAGATGGCACTGGTGCATTTAGTTTAAATATTTCTTGCCTAAATATAGGAAATGATGTAGTGAATCATGTGCTGTGAACAAGCCAGCTCTCAGGGCTCATTCAGCTGAAGCCCCGGATGAGAGGAGTGTATTTTGATGTAATAGTTCTGGGGTAACACTTAACAGACACATCACATGCAACACAAGGCTATAGATCAATACAAGTAATACTTAATTAATGGAACTACATTTAGTCTGTAGAGCAGTCTGTGTTTGTGCGTGTAGAATAAATTTCAGCACATCTTTACTTGAAGTGAATGTGCGCCCCCATTTTCAAAGAGCTCCATGCATTTATGACTACCTGAAGGATAAAGGCATGACCTGACTGCTGTCTGTGGGCTTTCTGCTATTAGCTTCATACCATGAGGAAAGGGCACGCGTTATTTTGATGGCTATTTGCAGACTTGTTTGCCGTTTGTTTTTCTTCAGAGCTTGTATTGCACTACACTTAGCCAGTATGCATTTCCTTGTCTCTTTTTCCTGTCGTGTATCTATCAGCTTCCTGTGCAGAGGTGGATGAAAACAGCTGTTGTCAGCAGTCTTGCCCCTGTTGCTGTCAGTGCTGACAGCAGCTGCCTTCTCCTATTGCCCTGGTTCAGATACCAGCAGTATCCTCAATGATGGAAGCCAGTGATAAGTCTCATGAAGTTAATGAGGTATCAGAGATCTTTAAGAACCAATTCCTTCTGATCCACAAACAGTATTTCAGGAATTACGGCTTGCTGATGTGCTATTTTTTTAAAATTTAAATATATATGTGGTGTAATAAATAACTTTTTTTAATGAAAAGAGAGACTACTGTTGAGAATTTGTTGATGTTTCTCCTTGGTTTGCACTTTCTCCTTGTGCTGAGTGATTCAAAAACTGTCCTGTCGCTCCAATGTATAGCCTGGATCGCATTGGCCATTTCTGCAAGACAAGAACAAGCACCGTGCTGAAACACCTGGGGTCTGAATGCAGCTCTGAGTGACAAAAGCAAAGCTTTATGTGGTGATGGAATCATGACAGAAGAAAATAGGAATCTGACAGTACTGCCAAAAAAAGTTGTGTCTTGTCACTTACTGGAAAATTAGGATCTGTGCAAAGGAACTTCAGCATGGATATCTTCTTTGGGAATAAACTGTGAGATACAGTTCCTAGAAATTCTCATGACCCAACAAACAATTGTAACTCACACTGCTGAGGTGTCTCACCACAAGTTGCATTGCAGCTGCTCTGCCACTAAAACAAAGCAAACCATTCCCTCGATGCTGGAAGGGACACTGCCAGGATGCGCCAGTGTTGGCTCTGCGTGCAGCCCCTGCATGCGCACCCAGCTGTGCCAGCCTGCCTGCTCTGGTGGGGAGGGTTTTTCTTGCAGCCTGGGAGTTGCCATGCTGTGGGTGTTCGGCTGTATGCCTTGCTGTAGGAAGGGACGAGCTCAGCTTGAGCGTGGTAAGCTGAGTTTGGTTGTTAGAATTGGATGCAATATGCTGTCTTTTCAGGCATCCCTTTGATGCAGAAATACCTGAAAAAGCCAGCATGGTCTTCCAAGTAGTACCATTCTTTTAAAATTAAGGCACTTGGGGGAACAGGCTGGCACCTTTCCTGAGCAACAAAGGTAGCTCTAAAACTGGAAGGGGGCTGTCAAAGCATTAGCACTGCAGTTAGATTTCAGCCCTTCCATTTAAAGACATAAAGAAGCAGAATGTTCTCTCTTAGAAAGGCCCAAAGATCTCATTTGGTGTTTTTATTGCAAACCTGATGTTATGAATTCATCTATATTAAGGCATCTGAGACATTACCTAACTTGAAGTAATTAACCCTGCTTCCTGGTCAGTGTACACACAACAGCACCTGAACGGTTTAGTTTCCACATTATTTGCATTTACTGTGCTTGACACAGGAGTGTTGTTACAGCCCTTATCTGCACTGCTCTTCTCATATCCTGCACTCAGATTTTTTGAAGCATTTACTGTGATTTCTCTGGGACATTTCTGTTCTAGTTCCAACTAAAGCATTAATTTACTACCCAAAATATCAGAAAGTTTGGTTAGACTGATAGGATCTCTGGCAAAACTGCAGGTAAATGAAACGCAAATAGGATTATCAAAAATAACTGCTGAATGAATCAACTGTTGCTGTATTCCAGTAGCCTGGGAAATGTGCAGCTGGATCGTTTAACTGCTTTAATGGCTATTTTTTCTGCCAGCAGTAGTTGGCAGCCGTTGAGCAATGCTGTGAGACCTGTGTCCCCTCACCCTGGCCAAGCGAGCTAACTGAAGCTAGTGAGAGCTTATTTTGAAACACATCACAGTGTTTATTTTTTTTTTTCTTAAATTATAGCCATGTTCTGATTTATGTAAAGGTTTTGCTTTCCTAATGAGCCTGCTAATCATTCGAATGGGCTGGGAAGCCTACGTTCACATCGCGCTTTTTACCACGACCAAGAGCGTGAACAAGGAGGTCTCTGTGACTCAGTCACTTTAGAGGAATTAGGGATTACTTCACGAATTAATCATAATTAAATCATTCTGAATTCATCAGCCTCTTAATAAAAAAACAGCAGTGCACTAATTCACTCCCTTAGGCTGGAGCCAAAGAAAACACCTCGCAGCGTTATAACATCACATGCGTTTGGAAACAGCTCCCATCCACAGGTACTTCCTAACAGCAGTTCCCCTTTCATGTCCTCTGCATCTCCTGGACCTATTTTGATGAAGGCAGGAGAAACAGCAGCATGTACTAACTATGTGAAATACAAGCATCAGAAAAGCACTTTCACAGGAGGAATTAATGCATGGCCAGTAATTAATGTCTTATTTCTTATCTTGGCTGCCTCAGCAGGAGAAACTGCAGACTTGCAGACATTGCCAAGCACTGCCATGGCCGGGATGGCTGCTGTAGAGCATTTCACATCTTAGCAGTTCCTCCATATGTTATGGTGGGTTTGGAGCGGGTCTGCCAAGCTTCCCATGGACACTGAGCAGATACTGGCATTTCCCTTCTTAGGATGGAGTCCCACTGTGCTTGGACTTCAGTTGTATCGGATATTTTTGTGAAAAGTCCCTGAAGGAGGGGAAACGCCAGCAACTCCAGGTATTTCCACCAGGCCTGCAGCAGCCAGGTGCATAGTTATGTGGCTCTGGCAGACTCAGCTAAAGCAGTCTTTCTGCGCATGCATTCTAGCAAGGTAAATCAGCCTGCAATTGCTGGTTTCGTCTGAATATTTGAACACTAGTTAGCTGTCCTACCTTGACAGGATGGAGGTACCCATCTCCTCGGAGGGCTCCCAGGGACTCTCCTGGAGACTCCTCCTCGTCCTGGAGGCTGCGTGTGAGGTGCGCGATGTAGGTGGTGGCCAGGAGGAGCACGTCCAGCTTGGAGAGCTTGGTGTCGGGCGGCACGGAGGGCAGCGTCTTCTGCAGCTCCAGGAAGGCATGGCGCAGGGTCTGCACCCGGCTGCGCTCCCGTGCAGCGTTGGCAGCTGCGGGTCGCCCTGGGCCTGTCCCGGCCCGCTGCCCGATGGCGGGGGGTAGGCAGGGGCTGCTGCTGGCAGCTGGAGGTGGTGGTGACTCGGGCTCTGGGCTCAGGGTCTCCTTGCGGGCCTCAGGTAAATGCCTACAGTCCATGGGGGGCTTCCCTGTGGGGAGGGGCCTGTAAGTGACAAGAGTGTCCATGAGGCTGGCAGCCATGGCTGAGGGCTCGTGGTGAGTGAACCTCAGTGCCGGGCCAGAGCTCCTCAAGCTCCTCATCACCCCTCACCTCATGTCCGCCGTACTCCCACTGCGCTCACAGTGCAACTCCTCGTGTGCTGCCAGGAGGAGACTGGAAGCCCCACGGCCAGGAGTCACTGTGGGACCAGGAGTCTGTGGGGTGCAAGCAGCACCCAGGCTGCCGGCACAGCCCATGGCACGGCCCCTGCTGAGTACAAACTACCTGTCTGCAAACTCAGCTTGAAAATAAACACAGGTTGTGGGCATGCACCAAAAAAACTTATGAAGTGAACGTAGTATTTTCACCATCCAGAGAAGGAGATAAAGCATGGAGTCACGTTATCTCCTGACTGCTGAAATGGATGCCTTCTAGAAGCAACTCCTATCAGAAATGTGAACGCTGCCGGCTCTGGGAAAACCAAGGCTGTTGCATAAGGGTGTGAGTGACTTTTGGGCTCACTGTTCATAAACTGGTTTGCTGCCACACGCAGGTACAGAATCAGAACTTTCTGGGCGGTGCTGCATGGAGCCAGGAGTTGGATGCAACAGTCCTTATGGGTCTCTTCCAACTCGGTATATCCTGTCATTCTACAGTTCTATCTTACACCCTTGAAAAGGCGATTTTTCTTTTGTTTGGTATTACAGTGAGCACTCTAAGGATTACTTTTTGCTTTTCTGAGCAAACCTGGATGACCACGCTGAGCAGTGCTGCCATGGTAGGTCCCATTTACAACCAACAACATTAGAATAAGTGTGATTTTTTTCAAAAAAATACCATTTAGTTAAATGATATGGGATGTGAGACTGCATATATTTTTTTATTAACAGTCTCACAGGTAATCGGGGCTCCATTTACTGCAGAAAGAAAAATGTTCCTTGCAGATATAAAGGGGAATAGAGCCACAGAACACAGCACCCATGTTTTGAAGGGGGAAGTTTGATGGCTCAGAAGACTGGGAACAACATCTGCATGTCCTTGTACACCCAGCATCACTCAAGCCTTGCTGAGCTTGTCCTATCGCTTTTGTTTTCTAACTTAAAAATCAGAGTCCTGTAAGCTGTATTTCGGCCTTCGGGGGGCAAAAGAATCATGTGAAAACAACAGCAAAAACCTTCCTTCGAGCAAAGCTGCAATAACTGCTGAAAGGTTTTTCCCAGCTTCCAGAAAAGCCTGTGCCAAACTCCTTTTCCTTGAGCTCATTCAGTTCCCCAGCAATAAATACTCCATCGATGTTCCCCAACGCGCAGCACTCCGCAGTGAGAATCATACCTGAGCTTTTATCCAAGCAGAGCTTCCGAGCTTCCTGGGCAGCTCCCGGCTTCCCTGCCTCGCAGAGCTCTGTGTTGCCTTGGACCAGCAGCAAAGGCACCTTATGAAAGCAGTCAAAAACAATGGGATTTTAAATATCTAAATAAAAATCAATACACGTGAATGACTGAAGGTCTCCATTTACAGAAGTTAGACCTTGGTGCTGTGAAGCGTTTCAGCCCCACACTGAAGTCCCCAGAAGTCCCAGTGCAGCCACAGCTGACAACAGCAAGAAGCCACAGCAATGAGCCGAGCCAATGACTGTGATAATTATCATCTATGTAAAGTAAAACTCATGGAAATCTACTTGAGCTTGTCCCGAATGACAGCAAAAAACAGTCCTTGAGTCCTGCTGGTAGTGCAGGGGTTTAATTTACTATGTGTTCAGGTAATAGCGTATTACTTTCCAGTGTTTTCTCCCTCTGTTAAGCTGGCTCTGCGTGCCTGTTAGTGACACATCTCCACTGCCACTGCTGAGTCACTATGGTCATGAACAAAAGCAGAGTGTGGTACGGCTCCCAGCTTCATCAGTGGGATTTCTCGTTTGCTATCCCACTGAAATCCCACTGAAATGAAGCAGTCTTCCCTGACACTGGATAAGTCTGTGTTGCACAAGGATACAGACAAACTGGATTAGCAGTGCTGGTCAATCTGCTAAAACACTTTTACGGCAGGTTTACATGCAGTTATGTCTTTGCAGTTTTGGAGTGTGACAAAGCAGAGTTATGCTGGCATTGTATATGATAAACAATATAGAAACACACGTACCTGAACACCTCATCTCCTCATGCGTCCCTTGGAAACTGGAGTGAGCGTTGTAGGAGCTTCACATCTGCAGGGGATGAAGTCCTGGGCCTGAGGAAAATAAGCAACAATTCACCTGTGGAAATCACAGGTTTCATTCACTCCAACTTCTGTTCTGTGCTGTTGGCTTTCTATTGAGAGCACCGGCCTGGGACAACGTGACGCCCAGAAAACCAGGGTGTCTGTGGGGATGTGTGTTTGTGCTCACAACCCGTTCACTGCAGTTTGACTACCCTGGTTTCTGTGGTCCCCAACAGCTCATGATCCAAAATGCCACTGCAAATTAGTTCCCGTATCACCCGGTTGCAGATTTTGCAAGCAGGCTTGGGTTTAAGGCAATGAAACATTCCCCTGAGCAGTGTGCCAGCACACACGGACCCAGGGCAGGCAAAGGGACCTGGAGTCAGTGGCACGGCATCCCATCTCAGCATTCTTTCTGATGCACTTGAGCTGCGTGCCACATTTCTCGGGTGGGCAGATGCATGCGGATTTCACGCAACATCACAAAGACAGCATCAGTTCAAAATTTCATTAGTTTGCAAGAGAAAACTGCACAATGCTTTCTCATTCTCTATGCTGTGTGAAAGAAGTGGTGATGAAGGGGGGAAAAAAAAGAAAAGAAAAATGAAGAAAAAAAAGAAGAGCGAGAAGCCCCGACGGGACGCTGATCCGCACTTACCGTCCCGGCTGCGCCACCCGCCAGGCCCGGCCCGCCCCCTTTATAAGCCGGCGGCGGCCGCAGCGCGGGGCTGGGCGCACCTGGCCCCGCCACCGCCCCCGGGCAGCGACCGCCCCTCGCCGCGGGGGACGGACCGACAGCGCGCTGCGGGCGGCCCGGCGGCTGCGGTTGGGCTGCGCCGTGGCGTGGGTTGGAGCGGCGGCATTGAACCGGCGGGCCCGGGGTCAAACGGTTCTTGTAGCGAGCTTTCCCCCGCCCCGTCGCCAGTTCTTTCTCCGGTTTGTCCCACGGCCGTGTGTCCGCCCGTTCGTCCGCGATGCTACGGACGCGGCGTTGTCCCACGGCCCCGCACGGCAGTGGGCATTCCGAGCCGCGGGCGGGACGAGGTGCAAGGAGAGTCGGTTTGGAACCGAGCGAGGCCATTGCGGATCAGTGACGCTAATGAGAAGGGACGGGGCAAATAAACAGCGAGGGGATAGAGTTCTCCCAGAAAAACATTTTGAATGGAGCCTGATTTCACGATAACGCAGGCACGATAAATCAAGCCTTGGGAGCAGTAGAGAAACAAAGTCTGAGCAATTTATCACAGCTTTTGCAGCCAAGAAAATTAAGAAGTTAATCGCTAGCTGTTAGGGGCGGTTTGGGGCAGGAGATTGGGGTCTGGTGGGCACCTCCGGGCTCGTCCTGCGGCTGCTCGGCTTCTGCGCTGCCCGGCTCCGCACGGTGGCGCGTGGTGCCGCCCCACAGACAGCCGCTGCTGGGATCGGGCTGCCGGCAGTGCGGGGGTTTCCCTTCTTCCTTCGGGAGTGATTCTAACAAAAGTCGCTCTGTGGGGATTTACAAGACCGCAGTTACGGGCCGTCTGCACCGTGGATCGTAGCATCGTAGAATACCTCGAGTTGGAAGGGACCCACAAGGATCGTCGAGTCCAACTCCTGGCTCCACATCCAAAATCCAAGCCCTGTGTCTCAGAGTGCTGTCCGAACTCGTTGAACTCCAACAGCTCGGGACCGTGCCCAGTGCCCGGTGCAGACCGTTCCATGCCCTCCGCCCTGTGGTGCAGACCCTTTCCCAACTGCCCCTCCGCTGACACAGCTCCATGCCGTTCCCTCGGACCCTGTCGCCGTCACACAGAGCAGAGCTCAGCGCTGCCCTCTGCTCCTTGTGAGGAGCTGCAGCCATCAGGCCTCCCACTCTGCTCTGCGCTCAGCTGCAGCTCATACACCTTGCCCTACAGACCCTTCTCCATCTCTGTAGCTAATAGTTTTGTTCCCTTCTTATGTTGAGGCACTCAAACTGCACTCAGTGCTTGAGATAAGGCTGCACAGCACAGAGCAGAGTGGGACAGTCCCTTCCCTCAGCCATCCAGCAGCTGTGCCCAGAAGAATGATGGCTGTGGCTCCCTGGACGCTGATGGAGCACCCCCAGGCTCCTCTTTCCTTTCCTGATGTCCACAAATGCACCAGATCATGCACACATCAGAGGGCTGCTTCTGCCATACCCCAAGGCAGTGTCCTTGCCTGCCCAAGACATATCCGCTCAGAATGAACTTTTAACTTCTTGCATTGCAATGAGGAAAACAGATCCAGTGATTTTTCCTTGCATCAACTGGTAAAGTGTAACAGGCTGCTGCAGCTGCTGCTGCTTCTCTCCCAGATAAATGCCTGAGTTGCTCCCTTGCCTTACCTTCTACAGTATATTTCAGATATGAGAAATGCCCCGGTCACAGAAGAGCCAGATTTCAAGTGTGATTTAAGTAAGGAACAGCTCTGCTGGAGATTGTGATATTTTTCCAGGTACGCTTTGCTCCCTTCTTGTCACATTACTCTCTGCTTTTACAGCTCCAGTTCAGTGTGAACACTTGTGGCACTTTGCTCCATTTTGTTCATTTTCACCCATTCTTATTTCTCTGATAAGAATTTAAAAAATGTGTTTGTCTGCTGATAAGGTACAGCATGAATATTAACACTCCTGACTGCAGTGCGGTGTGAGCTGCTGCTCCGGGGAACCTATGAGAAACCCCGCAGCCCATTCTGGACAGGGAACTGCTCATTCAGATCTTAAATATGTGTAAATAATAAACTAAAATCTTAAAGTGAAAGTTGAAAATACTCAGAACCTATGAAGACTGTCACACTCTGGTTGACTCACAGCAAAACCCACACGGAGAAGTACTAAACATCCTTTAAATGTTTTTAAATGGAGGTGTGCAAGGGTGGGAAGGCATCCCAGATACACTGCGCTACGAAGGCCAGAGGGCAGCTTTGTAATGCCACGCATCAAATCCAGCAGCTGGTCAGCGTTCAACATTCACCAAAATATTTACATTTGTCTCTGGAAATTGTCTTATTGAGAAGCAGCTTTTACAGTTCTGTCTTCCTTGACCTGAATATCATAGACGATGGCAGCAAAAAACAGAAGTATCATGCTGGGTCAATACTAATTTCAGTAATGGACTACTGGCAACAGTTACACATCAGAACTTTTTTCATTGTTTCATTGTTTTCTGTTTTTTGTTGGTTTTTTTTGCTGTTGTTCTGATGCTGAACTACTCCAAAGCTTTAATGGAAGCAAGTGGCAGCTCCAGGCTGGGATACCACTCAATTACTACATTAGTTTTGGAAATCTGTTTCTTTACTACCATTGAAAAGTATCTTGTAACTCAGGGAAAATGCATACGAGAGTTAAGTTTATTTGAATTACATTTATCTAAAGACAACAAAACATAAATGACAACAAAATACACAAAACACTGAATGTAAAAAGATAGATTTTCTGATTCTGGGAAAATTCTTATGTCATTGAGGGTCTCAAGCACAAGACATCATACTGACATTCAGACAGAGAAACTCCATTAGGAAAGGTTTCATTCCAAGGGCAATTTGCAGTCCATACTTTCCTTATCTGTACATTTGGAGTTTTCCTGTATCTGAAGACTTGAGCACTCATCTAATTACTCAAACCAGAGCAAAGCAGCCAAACTCAAGTCCCAGCTACATAAAGCAGAAGCTGATGTCAAATTAACGTGCAATATTCCCAACCCAAAAATTCATCAGTACAGATACCATCAATCTTGTTGAGCTTTTTTCTAACTATTCCACTTCATTTATCAGAAACTGAAAAAATCCTAATCATGGAAATAGCTTTTTAGGACTACGAATCTTCTCACACATCATGTGCTGATGGCTCTCTTCTTGCACTATGGGACTACTAGCACACCTCTGAGTAGCTGTTAAGAGTATCATACATGGAAATAACCTAAGACACTGGTTAAAGGAAACTTATTTGCCGAGGAAAGTTAAGAAGAAGACAACTAGTTAGCCCACTAAGTGCTGATATTTTCACATGCTTACAATACAGAACGTCGCTTCTAAATAAATCGGCAGTCACCTTACATTTGGAATGCTCTTGCAAGGCAGTGTTAAGTTCAACATACTTAATTTTGTCTGCTTTTTAGATTATAAAGACACAGAGAACATATTCACATAGATGTCAATAAACTTTCTTTTTTAGTTTTGAGAAGGAAAAAAAATCCAGTAATGGCCAACTGTGCATCCTGTAACTTCTTTTAAAGTTCAGCTTGGCTCTGCCATTTTACTTCAGATTCCTCCTCAACCTGCATCAGAGAGATCAGAGAAGAGAGATCAGACCATTACGGCAGAAGCACACCAAAGCCACCATTGCTTCTGTCTCCATCAACGTGCCTCAGGACCACGCAGCATTTCTGCAAAGTTTACAATCGGTGTTACCAAAAGCTGCAGGTGAAAAAGGAATAAAGTATGCTTGGTCCTGCCCTGTTGTGAGGATATCGACCTAATTTGATGATTTGGGATATGAAGGGGCCCTCAGCACAGAACTGACCAGCTTTTTCCATTTACACATTGAAATATTTGGTCAGCCATCAAGTTTGTATCAAATACTGTTAATTTTCAAGATCCACAAGAAATAAAACCTTAGTAATAGTCAAAGCAAATTCTCATCTAAATGAAATCAGATAAGACTAGATCACTTATTCCAAAATATTTTACTACAAATGATGTGTAACTGATTACATCCAACTTTACTAGACATGTTATCAGTGATTAATATGACACGGTAATATATTAACTCTCTAAGAAAGGAAGATCTTATTATTCCAAATCTCATTTTTGAATTAAATTATTAGTTTGCTATGTGGGTCATTTCACTGCTGGCTCTGACTTTTCTTGGTTTCGATGCAGCAATTAATTCTGCTCAGAATGAAGGGAACAGAAGGATGTCAGTATTTCTGCAGTCTCTGGTTACAGTGTTACTTGAGATTGAGAGAGATTCAAATACATCTTTTTTTAGCACTGAACTTTTACAATCCTTCAAGGTCAGGTGACTAACAAAATAAAAACACTTTCTAGCGAAGTAGAATAAATTACTGATTACAGTCACCACATATTACATTTATTTTTAGTGGCCATAATTAGGTATTTTTGAAGCTTCATCAGTTTCTGATCCAAATTTACAATTCATGTGCATACAGTGATCCCTGCATTTACTCTAAGATCAGAGGAGCACCACGAGGAGGTATTCAATGCCTTATTTTGTTTCCCTGACAGTACTTCCAACAGAACAACAACCTCCAAAATCACTGTGGGTTGCTCTGGAAGCATCAGGATCTTTATGGAAAGGCCTGGTCTCAGACCTCCCAGGTCTACAGTCCCTGTAATGATTTTTGGTGGGAAGAAGCACCAAGAACAGTAGATGATGATTGAGTTGGAACCACTCAGACAAATCTGACACATCCAACTCTTTGTAGCTGGATGTGATGCAACCTGGAGTGCTGTGAGAGCCAGCCAATGCCACATGGAGATGGCTCTCATGATTATTTAAAGGTGGCGGTGAGCCAAAAAGCAGCAAAAGCAAATGCCAGCACATTTTGGTGTTGTCTGCCCTCACGTCTGCTCATAGGAACAAATCCTCCTGAAGAGGAGTTTCAGGCATGTGAAGGATAAGAAAGTGATTGAAAACAGACAAATAGCAAGGGAAGTTCTAAGTGGGTGTGAGGGAAAGACAAAAATGGCAGCGAAGGCATTTGTGCAGCGCAATGGTCTGTGGCATTGCCATCCTTGAAAACTTTCAGAACACAGCAATCCAGTCTGACTTCAAAGGCTTTAAGTAGGCAGTTGTAACAGTAGCATAGAGATGGTTCTGTTTTTAAGCCCACACTTCATGATTTCCACCCACAATCATAGATTCTTTCTTCTCTGAAAGAGTGGTCAGGCAGTGGAATGGGCTGCCCAGGGAGGTGGTGCAGTCACCGACCCTGGAGGTGTTCAAGGAACGTTTGGATGTTGTGTTGAGGGCCATGGTTTAGTGAGAACTGTTGGTGATGGGTGGATGGTTGGACTGGATGATCTTGTAGGTCTTTTCCAACCTGGTGATTCTGTGATTCCATGATTGAGGCAGTAGTGCCACTGGAACACTGGTGCTTAAATGGAGCTTGAAGGACTTCAGAAATTTTCAGGTTATAGTGAGAACAAAGGTAATATTTTACTTGCTGAAAACTTGCAGTCATTGATAATACATAGGAATTCAACAGCCATTGCGACTTGCGTTCACGGAGCTGTGCAACTTTAAGTTGACAAGGTTCGCGCTTTCACCAAGCAATTGAGGAACCCAGAGACAGGAGCACGCGCTGAAACGCCCCTGTCCCATTTATGTTCAGTGCTGGCTTACAAAGTGTCTGATAGGAGCTGTATCTGCTCAACTCTGACTTTTTGTTAGCTCACAATGGTTCTTAGAGATGTTTTTTTGAGCAACCTGGTCTAGAAGGAGGTGTCCCTGCCGATAGCAGGGG